GAATATTACAGGAGTACAAATGTTTAGGTTACACATATTGCCTTTGCCTCACCCAAGTCAGAGCTACAAGCATGTCCATTCCTGAGACAGTGCGCACCACGCCCATTAGGTGTGAATATACCCATTCCTTCCTCCCCATCTCATCTGTTTTTTTGGACCTCAATTGCCACTGCTTTAATTGTATCCACGTGCTGTGAACACCATTGCCATTACTCAGTTGTAATCATTAATGAGGCATGATGTCCTCAGGGCCCACATGAGAACCTGGTGCATGGTAGAACCCCACCAGTTATTGTTTAAAAAATGAGTACGCATTGAGCAAAAATCACTTTTGAAGAAACTTTTCATTTCAAGAACTGTGTCCAAAAGAATCTTATTTCCTATGGTTTGGTAGTGTTTCCTATATGTCCATTATGTCTGGGTTGGGACTGTTACTTAGAATTAAAGTAGTGCTCTCTTTATAAAACGATACTATGTTGTCTTTTAATTGGCTCAGGTTATTACTCCAGGCACCATCATCCTTCCTTTATTCCAAGCACTCTATGTCTTACATGCTTGCTGTATGTAGTTTCTGCTCAATTGTTTTATAATGAATTTTCATGATTCTCAACCTCCCCCCCCCACATCTCTGGAAAATTATCTTTCATATCAGACCTGATAACCACATGAAAGCTTTGGAGGTACTCTTATCCAACACCTGTGTTAATCTCGGACATTTGGCCAGTTAAGCCTAGTCACGCCTGTGCAACTCCCATTGTCTGGAAGTTAAAATTGCCATAATTCGTGTTCTGAATGCATCTCTCTACATATTCCATGATTTTCCAGGATTCACAAGAATGTGCATTCCATGATTCCCAGAGCAATAAGGAAGTAGTGTCGTCCTTCAACTTACCTAACAGACATTTTTACATCATCGTATTCCTGGGATCACAAGGATCAGGAGAAGAAAAGGCACTTTATAAAGATATTTTAGCATTTTTATAAGAATCTTAGAACCTTATAAACTTAGAAAGTTCCTTTAGGAGACAACCTTATACAGAATTGTGAAATTACTGTCATCAGAAATTCTGACTCTCTTATAGGTCTTTTAACTATGTTTCACATATTTGTTTTACTTTCCCTGGCTAACTAAGATACTCAACAAAAGTTCTAATATCTGGATAAAAATTAATGCTTTGAATTCCAAACATCCCTTTAAAAAAAACTTGTTTCTCTTATATTTGGTTTCCTTATGACTCTACTCTTTTCTTGAAAATTTTAACATATTTTAAAAATGTTCTTTTGAAATGTAAATTAGTCTTTGACTATGGTAAGATGATCTTAATTTAAATTGAAAATTAATGTTTTTGATGTATGTATGTGTAGAATGTGAAATGGCTAAATGAAATTGTATACAATAAATATATACAATTTTATCAGTTTAAAAAAAGGAAAAGAAAAGAAAATGGCAAAATTCTGTGTCTTTTAGGGAGAAAATGGAGTTGTTCTGAATGCCAGAGTCTTGTAGCATTTTCCATGATGTCCTCTGCAGCTGTTTGGTCTCTACCATTTTTCATACTTAATCTCTGTTAGTACTTTTATTTCAAAATGTTTATTGATCACAATCATACTTTAATATCCTGAAATTGCTATTCTCTACATATTGAACCACAACTCACATGTCCTCTTATATTATAAGAATTCAATCACTCACTTGAAGAGTATACTATATATTTTTAACTAAAATATCTTTTCTTTTTGCCTTTCTACTTATACACCAGAGTTTGAAGATTAAAGACTCTGCTGCCCAGTGATATCCATCTATTTGAGGAGCAGTGTTCAGATTTTGTACTGATATGCTTTGCTTCTAATTGCTTGTTGTTCCACACTAATCACCCTCAGCCTGAAGACATTTTTCATGAACTCCCTTGATGTATGGTCTTTTCTTAGCTTTAGCTTCAGTTCATGGCCTTTGTTTTTCAGCCCATTACCTCCTGAAATAACTTGCGGCTTGCCATTTTCTTTGTCCTTCAAAATTTTATTCAACTCAAATAAAATATTTCTTAATATTCATTTTTTAGTTCTCATCTGTAGGTAAGGAATTAACTTTCATGAATTTTTTCACTTTCATAATCTAAATGTTTAGTAGCCTATGCAATACAGTGATTATGTACTAGCTCACTGCCTGAGATGCATTAAGTAGGGATATGAACAATAATGAAACATTTCAAATACAATAGGTAAGCAATTTCTAGTGTAAAAAATTGTGTACCTTCTATTATACAGTCAGGAGCCACATAGTGATGTTTTGGTCAACCATGGACTGCATATATGATGGTGGTCCCGTAGATGATAATGGAGGCGAAAAATCCCTATCGCCTAGTGACATTGTAAGCATTGTAACGTCATGGTGAAACACATTACTCATGTGTTTATGGTGAGGCTCATGTAAACAAACATACTGCACTGCCAGTCATATAAAAGCATAGCACATAAAATTATGCACAGTACATGATACTTTATTCTGATAATAAACAATGATGTCACTGGTTTATGTATTTACCATACTTTAAATCACTATTTTAGAGTATATTCCTTCTACTTATGAAAAATATGTTAACTCTAAAGCATCTTCAGACAGGCCCTTCAGGACATATTCCAGAAGAAGGCGTTGTTATCATAGGAGATGACAGCTCAGTGCATTTTATTGACCCTGAAGAAATTCCAGTGAGACAAGATGTGGAGGTAGAAGACAGTGATATTGATAATTTTGACCCTGCGTAGGCCTAGGCTAAGGTGTGTGTATGCATGTATGCATGTTATACCCAGCTACATAGTTTAATAGGTTTTCTAAATGGTTTTCAGTTTATATCATTCCTTATCAAACATTCTAGAATTGTGTGGTACTGTCCAAAACATATTTACAAATTTAGGGTATATTGATATTTAACTCTATTATGCAATGTAGCCATAGGCTTGAGGGGAAAAAAAACATATTTTTAGCTACAGTTTCAGAAAACATGTTTATAAACAAAAGAACATTTCTAGTAGAAAACTTTACCACTTTAAGCACAGCAAACATGTTAAAATTCAGCCCAATTAAAATGTAGACATAGGCATCCTTTACAAAATTTTCACATATCCTACTTAACCTAGTACATTACTTAAAAGTTATGGGTAACAAAATTGTATAAAGATTCAATTCTACAAAAATAAATTAATCATGCACATTAGAGTGACATTTTTTCAATTTGTTTCTAATATCTACTAAAATTCATGATATCTGCACAAAATAGCATTTGAAAATCTAAGATCTCTAACTAAGGACAACTATCTAAATATAACACAGGAATTGTTTTTAACCTGGAATGGAAATTTATTTTTAGATATAAATATTTCTTTTAGTTATAAGCATCCGAATGATTTACCTTTCAGAATAATAATCTACTGGTGGCTTAACTGGCTTAAAGTGTGTGAAAGTAGGGAAAAGAAAGGCAACAAAGCTTTGGGGGAAAAAAACTAAATTGAATAGGAAAAGATATATAAAACTACAAAGGAAGCTATTATGGAATCAGGAAATTTCTTATCCAAATTCAAACATTCTTCTCAATAAAATACTATAATTACACTATGAATTTCCCTCTCTCCTTATAATTATCCTGTAATAGTTTTGATATTTATTTTAAGGTGAGTAGATATCTCAGTCTTACATTTAAGGAAAAAAATAAAAACTACTTCCAAATGTTTCACATCCAAAAATAAAGTATATATATAATAAACCATTTTTGATGTGCAAAATATGCTATGAGCAAGGAGCATAAATACAGCTTAATTTTCAGCTGCCTAAAACCAGTACCTAAGGATGGCTTACTATAAAAGAACTATTTTCAAAGTCAGAAAATAATTAGATACAGTATAAAAATGAAAAGGTATATATTTCTAGAGTTCATGTGCATATCCAAAATAACCTAAAATAAAATTTGTCCTTGTGTGAATCAAGTATTATATTTCAAAATTACCTCTGCTATATAGTAAGACTTTACAACTAAACTTTCTTTGTGAAACTGAAGTAAAATAGAAGTCTCTCTATGTTAATCCATATTTTTTTAAAAAATGACTAAGTTCAGGTAGAATAAAGGCTAACCCCAAGTAGTATGAGAATCTCTACTTAAGCTAATTTCCTGCCATATCTCCAGTGCCTTCTGTGAACACTTTTGTGATGGAATTATAATGTTTAAAAAATATTCTCTTCTAATAAGAAAAGCTAATCATTGTTGTATTAGTGGAAATTACGTGAGAGCAGAATTGTACTTTTCATTCCCAATAAACTTGAGCACTAATAAACTGCACTAAAGGTGGCTTATAAATTGAAGTAAAACAGTTCAGTTCTGCTCAAATGCCATTAACCTGAGAAAGCTGCATGACAAAGCCTTCCATGTGGAGAGAGGAAGGTAATTTGCCACATTATGTCTTGTTCTTTTTTATTAAATAATTTATTCTTTCTTTCAGTTTTCCATGTGAAACATCCACTGGCTTCCTGATAATGTGAACATTTTGTGAGAACTTCTGAATTTAAAAGTATCTTTATTCTATTTTGACATATCAGTAATGATTTGTGTAGACAATGTGAAAGTGAAATACTCTTCCCTCAGAATGTAAAGGAATTTCTCCAATGCCCTCATAATAAATAAATAAAATAATAAATAATAAGATAAATAAAATAAAAAAGATATACTCTAAAGCCTACAATAAATGTTGCACTTCAAAAGTAAAATGTAAAGATAAAAGTAACATGTAGAAAATGTGTTTTTTCCTTATAAGAAATTATGGAAGAAAATTCCAAGGAAGTACATATTAAAACTTACAATGTTGTATTCTTTTCTGAGTAATCTTTCCATTACTTTATGGCCTTGATTAACTCTAACATACTCCTTTTGTGCCCAGCTCTCTGTTCCCGTGGCCCAACTTGGACTTCCCTGCACCCAGAGCGGACATTCCCTGTAACACAGAGTGCTTCCTACCTCATGTGGATCATTCAGTTTTCCGCCACAGAGCTTTCTCTGATACCCAGGTAGCTTTTTCAACAGTCATAAAATGCAGAACATTAATATTCTTGAGGCTTACCTCAAACAATGAGGGACAGGACAATGTGGACAAGTCTCTAGACTTCTGTGCTGCGGAGAAACAATTCTGAGGTTCATTCGGGGTAAATTTCATTATATTGAACAACAGTTACTCAGTGATAGCCAGTTCAATAACTACTGTTTATCATCGATCCCTCCTTCTGTATCACTTTGCCACCTCTGTGCTTGCAGCATTAGGGATCACCTACCAAATATTCTACTTGTACCCATGTCTATGTCTGGAATTTACTTTTGGAGAAACTCTAAGTTACCATTAACGAAATAGCTCAAATTTTCCAGAGTAGCCATTGATGATAAACACTTCTCAAAATATTCACTAAGATCTCTAATTGGTAAACTTATTCTAACTTGATTATGTCACCTTTCTGTTAGTAGTTTTGTAGTGATAAATTAAGAAATACAATCATTAAACTTATTTTAAAATGTATTTTAAAAATAAAATTTAAAAAACTATGAATTCTGAACATTGCCTTATTCAGTAACCCAAATATATGTTAAATTTAAGAACTAGGTTTTAAAAATTGGCTTACATAAATAAATCTTTTTGTCTTTAAGCATACTTCACAAAAAAACAGGGAAGATGCCTCTATTTCAGAGGAGGTATCTGCCTCTTCTCCAATGGAATTAGAAGATACTTAACTCTTGTATTTTAAAAGTAGATAGATTATCAATATTAGTTTATCAGACAGGCTACATTGGATGAATTCAACTGTAAACTTGTTTCTTTACTTCTAGAGAATTTTTTTTCTCATTTTTAGGGTAGGCTTGGCCGAAGGCATTTCATAGCAACATGGATGATAATTTTTATAGTTATTTTAAAGCCCTAAGCTTCATTAATATTCTTTTATTTTCACTGTATTTTATATATAAGAATTTATAGAGATTATAAAAATTTCCCAGGCTTAACTACTACTGTGTTCTGATTCTCAATGTTTTCCAGAAAGAAGCAAAAAACATCTTTTAAAACAAATTTTGACATATGGACTTTAATTATAGTGATTAAAAGAAAATGACTGTTCCTAAAACAATTATTTAAAGAGCTATTCTTAACTCTTTATTGTAGTCATAATGAGTATGAACTTATTTATTAATGATATTCTTTCTCCTCCCTGAATAGAACAGGGCTATTAAAAACTAACAAGCAAACAACTTTCCTGGAATCTAGAGCATGATGATTAATTTATTATGCATATGTAATTTTATCAATATAAATATTTAAAGCATTATAAAACATAAATCTTGAGTTTGCCTTACTTATAAACACACGATGGCATATAAGTACAATCCACTATGTACATCATCACATTATAAATAGAATTAGTATTGCAGTTTTGAAACACTTGGTACAAATTATTTAGACATAAAAATCTGGAGAGATTTGAAAGTCATATCTTTAATATCTAGTAGCAAGATACGGTCAAGAAAAAGAGATAATATTTAGATCACCAAGAAATAAAACTGGGATAATAATATATTAAGGAAAAGTTGTTGTAATAGGGAATTGAAAGATAATCACAAGGATTAATCTTCAAGTGTCTGGGGAATTCTGTAACAGTGTTGGTAATAAAAGTATGCTAAAAGTACAGTCTTGACCTATGCAAAAACTGTTACAAATGGAATATCATTTTTATATTGTAAATATTGGGTTTTCTCATTGTAAATGATACTTTTCTTAAAAAGTAAATAAATGAAGAGTCTCCTGTTCAAGAAACATTGACACAGAGTTTACAAAACTTATGAAAAAGTTTATTGAATGTTTATCCTTAAATTTCCTTTTGGATGTCCCTGCTCTCATGCTTACCGGAATTTAAACACAAGATTTGTCAGATCATACACATTATTCACATTTAACACTGAAATGTGATGATCTACCGTTACATGAAATTTTGTTATATCGTATACAGAAAGATTTTTACTTACACACGAAAAATACATTTGGTGACAAATTGAATTTCAGAATAGAATTCCTAACACTAAAACTTTTATCGTATCAGTTATGGTGAAAGCGAAGACAAGGGATTGTCCCTCTTTGTTCCTGATCTGATGACTGATCCTCATTCTCTGGCTTATTGTACTGAAGTATCCCTAAATCCATGGTCTGTGAGTTTTCACAAGTGTGCTCTATTTCTCCAGTTTCACAGTTGTAGGCTTTTTACAACAAAGCCTTACTCTTAAGGGGAAAGGGAAAATAAAAAGATACACTGCAAATCATCTGCAAAGGACTCATCATTTCTTTTCCAATTTTTATTTTCTGCTCAGAGTACTTCTAAATACTCCATCTCCTGAATTCTCAGTCTCGAAATTTATCGTCTGCTTCCTCTAAGTGGTGGTCATATAAATTGTCTGAAATTGCCGTTACTGCAAGAGAGAGGGAACATTTCATCCCTCGGGAGAGTAAAACCCTGACCGCACTTTCATAAGCACAATGAGAGGTTTACTCACTGAACAACTTGTTTGTAGTGATTTCTATGCCGTGGGAATCCCCAAAGACCACTCCAATTTTCAGGGCAAGGTTTTCAAGTATAAACTATTTTTTTTTCACTCTGTAGATGCTATGTACCACTTGGCTCATTGGCCATATTCTTCCACAGCTGTTCTGTAACTCTCCAATCACATGGAGAAAGAGAGCTCTATCATGACCCAAATGAGTCAGCATGGAACATTGCATCATTTTCCCAACCAAGTGAACTCGCCGGCGGTGCCCAGATGGATTCTGTGAGTCATTCTTTGAACAGGCACACAGAGGTGTTGCCCTGCAACAGATAGCCATCCTAGAGCCCATTCAAGTCTCAGGACTGGCTGAGGGCTTTCTGTTCTGAGATAAAGTTTGTGAAATATAAAGTGATGAACAATCACAATAGAATTAACAGAGTTTATGCCTACTCTAAAGGCGACAGAGAGTTCCATCAGCAATTGGCTGAATGACAAATTATGAAATCCACAAAGGGACTTCATGCACACATTTTAATGTAACAACACAAATCAGATGTTGCTCTTAAAGCATCATTCCTGTATCAATTACAGCAAAACAAAACTAGATGTGCAAGAAAAGGCAATTCTCAAAATAAATACTAGTTGGTATTGGGCATGAAGAAGAGGCCTTGGGAGAACCAAATTGTATTCAGAGAAGAAAATGTGTTAACATTCCTGGACACTTTAGATAGTCTTTGACCATAAACTCACTCTGGGGGGAAAAAATCATACAGAAATTTGTTTTTAGTCCAGAGTAGGTAGATGCTTATTGATTATGGTCTGGAAGATGTCTAAAAAGCAAAAATTCCTGACAAATCCATTAGTATAAGAAAACTAAAATGCAATTGGATCAAATTGATTTTTCCTTGTAACATACTATACAACCTTTATTCCACTTACAGAATACACACATTACAGATAGTTCACAAAATATTTAAGCCCTATTTTTACAAATTTAGAAAGCCTATTTGGTAAATAAGTGGACAAACTGGAAGATCAGGCTACATCAGTACAGGTTGACCTTGCTGCATAAACTCTATTTGAAATTCAAAGAACCATTTGAAGATTTTGGGAGGATAGTAAATTGTTCAGAAGGAGAAATTCAGTCTGATCGAAATGGTCTGTTTATTTAGGGAAAATGCTTGATTAGTTTTCTCCAAATTATAATTAAAATAGATCGCAGTAAATGAGACATAGTGAATAATATTTCACAGACAGTAGGTTTTTCTAATAGCAGTTATTATGTATGCTCTCAGTAGTAAAATAGCCTTCAAGAAACTCATCTCAGTTTTAAGTACTATTATAAGTATATTTAGAAAGATTTTAATTATTTATACCACGTAGATATTGATTTAGAAATTTTATTTTCTATTAGCATTTCCAGTGCTCTAATGAGTTAGCATTCATTAAAGCCTGGGTGATTTTGCAATTAAAATCATTGTAACTTTTATTTGCTTTTGGTTAAACTATTTCCCTTTAGTAAGGAATGTATTACACTATCTTTCCACTTAAGTCTTAGAAGAATCAATAAAAGATGTAAATAACATCCTCCAGCAAGATTTGATCAATGCAATTACCTCAAATCTAAAATACCTTCTAACCAAAATTTATATCACATCTACAGACAGTATCTCCTAGTTTGTATCATATATTTTCATGTCTTTCATGTTTTTGCACAGGTAAAGTGTAAGTGTATAAAAAATAAAGTATAAAGTAAGTCTTTGATAAGTTACTTAATAAAAGAATAAAGTCTGTTTTAAAGGAAAACAAATTAGTTTTTAATTAAATGATTCCCTAAGCCACCTCCTATACTTTCATTTTTAAAATTAACCCTGACCTCAAACTTGACATAATTAAATGTTAATTCAATGGTATATATATTTAAATTCATAAGTCACAAAATGTATAAAATTTTTATATTTAAAATTTTAAACATTGAAATGCCTTATTAAAATATTGTACTAATTTCTCAAATATGGTGAATTTGATATCTTCTGTACTTGATCTCAGAAAATTTCTGTGTGGGTTCACATGCATATATACACAGATAACTTTCTTAAAGAGGGATGATAAGTGAAAAATCCTTTGAAATCAAGCACTTATTTGTAATTTTGAAAATTATAAAAAAGAATAATTGCATAAGTAGTAACCTTTATCTGTAGGAAAGAGAGAATGTCATATATTTTTCAATAAAGTATATAGAAGATCTTTTATTAAAATATAGAATGATATGTATAAAATCCACTAGAAGATTAATATCAATTCATCGAGATAAAACTGTGGCATATATCAACATAATTCCCAAAATAAAATAATTTCATTCTGATTTTAAATACTGCAGTCAATTATGTGATATTTTTTGTTAGTCCTGTTCTTGTTTGGATGCCATTAGATTTGTTTGATTTTCTTTCATGGCTGTCTTCTGTATATCTTGTAATCTTTATAGTTTTTGATGTGAAGCATTTTATTTTAGAATTCCATTATGATCTGCAGTACTAATTTTCAAACTTTTGCAAGGAGGTCAATTTAATATAACTATATTAAAGAATTTTAATGAGCACTTCTAGATCATATCAATTACGTATAAATCCTATAAAATATTGATTTACCATTGCAATATTTCATAATCATCATTTTAGCTCATATCTTCAAATAAGCAGACAACTGCTGAATAGTCTTATAACTGCTTACTTTTTTTGTTGTTTTGAGAGAGAATCTCACTCTGTCACCCCGGGGTACGGTGCTGTGGCATCATCTACTGCACTCTACCCGCTAAGTGTAACCTCCAACTCCCGGGGTCAAGTGATCCTCCTGCCTCAGCCTCCCGAGTAGTTAGGACTATAGACACATGCTACCATGCCTGGCTAATTTTTCTATTTTTTTTTTTTTAAGTGAAGACAGAGTCTCACTCTTGCTCAGCCTGGTCTTGAACTCCTGAGCTCAAGCAGTTGTCCCATCTCAGCCTCCCAGAGTGCTAGAATTACAGGCATGAGCCACCACACCTGGCCATAACTATTTACTTTTACACTTATTTAAAAAGAAATCACAGAGAAATCATTCAGATCCCAGTGTACACGAACTGTGTTTATCTACAGAGAGTGAAGAAACATTTGTTCATGCTTTATTCTGAAACTTTATTGCATTTAATTTTGTTAGCCCCAGTAACTAAACTTTAGTACATATCTTTAATAGGTTTTAGTTGGTTTAGTGAAAATGTAGAATATTTTTTTAATATAGGTTTACATGGAATATTAACTGACTATAAAGACTGTTGAGAAAAGAACCTGTCTTACAATTCTGAATCATTATTTCCTCATGTTGCTTCCTGGGGGACAAACCTCAGTACTTTAACAACATCTTCAATAACTAAATCTGTTTTTTACTGCTTTGTTTGAAACACAAACATAAAGACAAACATTTTTTAGAAACCCAAAATCTATTTATAAAAAATATTTTTGGGTCAGCTCATTGGCAATCATGTACGATCAGAAATGTTAATAGAAATTTAATCACATAAAAATGTACTTACTTTTACTGAAAAGAGAATGAAGTTGTTTTGGAAATTGCATTTAATGATTAATGGGTTCGGGTTAAGGCAATGACTCTCAAACTTTGCCATTCATCAGAGTTTATCAGGTAGGGGGCTAGGCATTTACATGTTTTCTCCCAGCAAAAATAAAGGAAAGCTCAAAGGAGAGTCTGAAAACTTCTCAATAAAGTGGGGATAAGATATGGAGACAAGGAATTATCCAAGAAAATAGTCATTACTAATATGGCAAAGGGTTAAAGGAGTACTGACAGTAGACTCACTGCATAAAGAGCTGCTGAATTGCATTTGACAGTCACTAGCCAGTGTCCAGGAGCTGGGGCTGAGCTGAGTCTTAGAGCCTTAGAGGTAATTTAATTTTTCAAACTGTGAAGATCAAGAAGTTATAGGGGCAGGGATGCATTCAGGTTATTTCAGTACACGTATTATTAATTGGAAAATAAAGTAGTATTTAATCAAGTGTTATTGTATATTGTGGGGAGAATGTATAAAAATGATGCTTTATACAATTTTGATAACTATTTTTTAAAGAAGTACAGGGCTTTTCTGTAAAATACAAAAGGATAAACACAAAATAAGTATTCCTGACATTCATAAGAAAAATTTGCCCTATGATGTTGCATGTGTATATGTACTAGTCCCTTCTTTTCCAAGGATCCCATCCTACTTAATTTTAAAATAGTCTTAAATAAATATTAAGTCAGATAAGAATTGATCCTCAAAATACATTCATCTATTTATTTATTCAGGATGCATGTTTTTTTCTGTTACTAAGCTCCATCTATAATCAAGGATCTGAATCACTTGCTGAGATTACACCAGTATGAACCAAAAAAACCACACTTTTGGCTTTTGAAACTAATAACCTAAGTGAGAATATAGATTTTTTTTCAAATATCCACAAAATTAGGTAATTAGGAAAAGAAAAAAAAGTGGTAATGAGTACTGTGAAAGAAGATTGTAGAATGTAGTAGACACTCTTAATGGGAGAAAGTTAATTGGATGAAAAGTAGGAGGAGGGCCAATTGAGTGAAATTTATGATGAGACATGGAATTGAGGGGATTGAGACAGAGAATATCTGCAAAAAGTAATTTTCAAGAAGACATAATGTGCTCACAAATCTTAAGGCTGGAAGAGTTCTGCTGATTTAAGAAACGGAGGGAACTGTGAGAGGGACTCATGGGCAGTGAGTGGCACATTAGGATATTTCAGAGGGACCCCTGGGCAGGACCAGAGAATGCAGGATCCTGTTGACCATAGTAAGTATTTTTCTTTTTATTATAAGAGAAAAGAGAAGCCATTGAGGGATTTTTAAAGGAGGGCTATTGATATAAGTTTTATACTAAAAGTGTTATTTTAACTTCTCTGGGAGAATGGGTTAAGATGAAGGAATAAAGGGGAGGCAAGCATGAAACTGGAAACCCAGGAGCGCTGTTTTTACAGAAGCCTGGGCAGGTGACATTGGCTCAGACTGATGCGGTAGAGATAGGGTAGCGCAGTGGAGACAAGACAACGAGGGTCAGGATTTATCTTAGTTATATACACTTGTGGGCTTGGATCAGATGTCGGTGGGGGGACAGGAGGTCAGTAGTGGTGGGTACGAATGAAACAACGTGAAGGATGATGGCCAGGGTGGGGATATGAACACCTTGGAGGATGAAGTTTAAATGG